CTATTTTGTGGCTATCAACGACGATCGGAAATCTGACATCCACCATGCGAGCCGAAACCTATACTCGTCTGGGGCACAGTGCCCCAGCGAGTAATTAAATTATCTAAGATCGCGTAACTGCCAACTCGCAATTTACCATTTCGACCCACTCACTGAAAGGATTGAAATATCTCCTAAACATGAGATATTATTTTCAGTTGATCTCAACCTATATTTCCCCCAAACTCCCCACCATTCATTAATGTTACTTAATATTTATTTTAGGTTTTTATTAACTTTGCGAAACAACAAACAGACGGAATTGAACCAATACCACCATCCTCGGAGCCACACAGTCCAACAATTGAACAGCCTCCGATAGTTGAGGTATAACACATGAGCTGTAATATATACATGACGGTCGGATATTGCCCGTTCTTAAAATGAAAGAATTTTATGTAAACATATAAATATAGAACGTTTGTAATATGTAGAATGTTTTGTACAGTTTGGTGCGTGAATATAGATAATTTTGAGTGGAAGTAATATACGATGTAGAAATTTTGATAAGAAAGATGATCATGTTATTAGACAATTTTAGTAGAAATTTTAGACTAAATTATTTTAAAATGATTAATATATCTGTAACCTTGTGTGGATTATTATGTAATATCATGTCAAGTTTGTGAAACTTATCAGTCTGCACACCATGCTTTTGTCGTCGAGATTTGAACGCCAATAGCGTACACTTCCCAAGTTGCTCGTTAGAATGAAAACTACTTACAATGGATTAACATTGTCCACCTCGATTTCAAGCTAGTTTTTCATGTGCACGTGAGCAAATTGGGGAAGGATCTGTTGGGTCGTGAGGTAAAATGAGTAATGGCTAAGGGCCTGTTCATATGATCCCGCTTACCGGGACGTCCCTCTTACCGATGATCTCGGCGCCTAGTTATTTTCCTGTACAATTTTGCATTGTGTTGGAGTGGCCGAAATCTCGCTTGAATTTGCCGAGATCATAGGTAGGCGGGATGAAACATTTTCCATATGAACACGCCATCCAGGTTATCGGGATGAAGTCAAACAAGTCTTGCCGTTTAATTTAACACGTTTTACTTAGTTTTATTTTTTGTTTTGTAAACAAGTGTTAAATATGCAGCTAAAGCAATACTTTTTCTTGTAAATAAATGAAGAAAAACACTAAAATCGCTAAATCTTTGTGTTGCTTGACTGAAATGTAGAAGTTTTGCATGCGCTAATACACCCTTTCGATAATTACGTCACATGCATACTTTTTGGTCTTGGAGCCTCGCTCTCATTAGTAAATTACGCGATGTGATTGGCTCACGATTCACGAGAGCGAGGCTCCCAGGCCAAATGACGTAATTATCGGAAGGGTGTATTACAGAACTACTTTGTAATTTCATCTCGGCAAGCGGGATGAAACCCTCTATATGAACGCACGGAAATATTCCTCTCGCTTGGCAAACCTCTCGGTAAGTGGGATCATACGAACAAAGGGAGGTTTTCAAGATAGTAAACTATTCCCAGCGGTCCCCCACTCCTTCAAGTCAGTATGGGAGTTTCTGCAGTCGAGCTCAGTCGGAGGAATGAAGGTATGGGATTGTGTGGGGTTAGGAAGGACAGGAAAAGACTGATGTCCTAATGGTGAAGGAGTGGAGAAACGTCACAGGCAGAAATACGCTTCCCAACAGGGTGCACTCGTTCTTGGTCGCAGAATGACTGATCTATGTTAGTTGGATACTCACTTAAATACGTGTGGATACCGGCAATGAGAATTGTTCAAAATTTAAATTCATAGTCCGCTTTAGTTTAGGGTTAGGATTGAGGTTAGGTTTCAGGTAAGACGAATAAAATGTGTTTTGTTATAGCCTTATAGGGAAAACAGGGTCCGATACTCTGGCTACGTTAAAGTAAAGGGTAGGCTAGGTTTGCACGACTGAACCACGTCGTGGGCGATGTGAGCTGGTAAAGGCTCTAAAGCACTTGTCAATATCTAATGATGACATGGCTTAACGGACATGGTACCCTCGTCAGCACGTGACGAACTTGCATGGACAATAGAGAGATTCAGGTTTTGGCTTCCAGAACCATGCCACTATCATCAACCAATCAGATGCGTATTCAGCCAGTGAGAGGTATTGGAGGTGAAATCTCTAATGTCGTTATTATTTCTAGTAAGGCGCATATCACCAACTCAAACGTACACAATACTATAGCAATATACAGTATAAGCAATAGCAGAGCAAAGAAGGAGAAATAACAGTTGTTGTTATATAGCTAGCGTGAACACCAAACGTGATTGGCTGATTTGTGGTCACGTGACTTCAGATAAATGCAATGTTTCCCGCCGGGCAACAAGTGAAAAATTGTTGCCCGCCCCGACCGGCCACGTACATAAATAAACAAAACGGAGGCACAACTCAGATAATTAGAAACTACGATTTTCCAAGTTTGTGTTCAAATAAAGAATATAAAAGAGAAGAAAAATACAC